GAACTGCCCTGGGGAGAAGAGAGCCGACAGTCAGTCTCAGCCTCGTCTCAGCCTCAGCCGGATCCCCATCTGCCCCCGCCCTCACTCCCCCACCCCCTGCTTTACCCCAACACTCACTCCACTTCCCGGGCCTATTGGAGCTGGTGGTCACCATGGCCGTGATGGCAGGAAAGACCGACAGGGTGACTGTGAAGACCAACACAAGGCACAGCGCCGTCAGCCAGATCTGGGAGCCGGAGGCAGGGGTGTGAGTGGGCAGGGAAGCACCATGTACGTCATGCAGCCCCCCCAGATCCCCCAGCCCCCCGCAGCTGCAGCCCTGCCCACTGTTTCCCTAGTCACCATGAGCCAATGAACAGAGGGAATAAGCACTAAGGTCCAATTGTCGTCTCAGAGAATCCCAGGGCTGGAGAAAATCCCTGGGTGGTCAGTTAGAAGCTATCTCTTAGCTGAACCTTCGAAAAGACAACAAACCTTCTGGAAGACAACAAAGACTGAAGGTTTTTCTGGCTTCTGTGGCTCCTCCAGCTCCAGCTCGGGCTCCTTCTCAGGGTCAAGATCCAGAGTTGGGCTTGCCTGTTCGGGACTGATGGGAATCCCATTCTTCTCATCTAAGGGAGAGGGAAGGCTGGGGTCAGGCCCATGACTCAAAAATCCTCAGGGTTGAAAAAGTGACTCTTTCCAGCCTAAGCACAGAAAGGGATTAACGGTGGTGACAGCCTGTTAATTGCTTGTTTATTGTGGTGTTGGGAATTGACCCATGGTTTCATGGGCTGTTAGACATGTACTTGAATTACATCTGAATTGAATTACATGTTTTTGTTGTTGTTTGCTTTTGGAGATAGGATCTTTTTCTAGCCTAGACCAGCCTAGCCTCTCTCTGTTACCTAGCCTGACCTCTGACTTGCTATCCCCCTGCCCACGTGCCAGGCAATGAGTTAAGCATCTTGGATAGATTCTCTCACTGCCACTTTGCAATGAAGAAATGGAGCCTCAGTCAGGCGTGGTGGTGAATGCCTTTAGTCTCAGCACCCAGGAAGCAGAGGTCAGCAGATTTCTGGGTCTGAGGCGGGTCTGGCCTATGTAGAGATCCTGTTACCAAAAAACAACAACCACAACAAATAAACAGCGCCTGGAGCAGTTTAACGGGTGATTTGCCAAAGCGTAGAGATCGTGGATCCAGAGTGCTCTCTCTCGCTTCTCCATCATGTTCAAGAGGGAACTGAGCCACGGGGCAGCAGGGATAGCTTCTCTTCATGGCCTGCTTCTGCTCATACAAGGTTCAAAGGTGTGAGCTACTGGGGGGGCGGGTAGGCAGAAGGGAATGCTTCCCAGCGGAGTGTACCTGAACTTTCTGTGTCTCTCCCACATCCCCTGCAGCATCCTGGGGCTTACCAGCTTGGAGGAGCTCAGCTTTGGTCTCCAGCTCCTGAGCAGGGGCCTGAGACAGCTTCTCGGTCAGATAGTAACGGGCAAACTTCTGCAGAAGGATCAGCAAGTCAGTCCTGCCCAAGGCTTCTGTGTAGTTCCCCTCCACACCCTTGGCTGGGAGGTTGAGGTCCCCCAGTCAACTTCTCTCTCCCTTCACCTCTTCCAGGGTTTTGTCCAAAATTCCCTAAGGTGATACATCTAGCCCAGTGGCAGGCTTACCAGATGGGGCAGGCTGAGGTAGCACACAATGGAGAGGAGGATGCCCACACAGGGTGTGATGAAGTACCCAAGGGCAGAGGTCTGGGCATCCACACCACCTGTGACAGAAAGTTTAGCTGCACAGGAGACACAAATCTCACAGTCCCCGTTTTCTGTAGCTTCATTCTCCCTCAGTGTAAAACCCAAGCCCTGTCCCTCGGTCTGCACTCCCCATCACTTCTGCCTCCACCCCATAACCCAGGCATCCTTCTCCTGTGTCTGCTCTCTTCTTCCCCAGATTCTAGAGGCTACCCAGCCCTCTAGGCCCCAGGTGTACTCACTAGCCAAGGACATGAGCATAGCAAGGGCAGCGAAGATCCCAGCCAGGCCCTGGCCACTGAGGAAGAGGGTGCTGTAGGTAGAAGGCATGGTACCCAGCTGCCCAAAGAGGCTGCCTTGAAGCACTGCACAGAAGGCTGTGGGGAGACACGGAGGGGACCAACACTCAGGCAGCCTCAGCAGCATCCGAGAGGAAGTATCCATAAGGTGCATGGGAAGCTGCAATCTAGCCAAGTGTGGGTTTTTCTGGGGATGTAGGACAGTCTGGTAGAACATCCCCCATCTATTTTTCATTAATTAATTGGAGACAGGGCATCACCATGTAGCCTTGGCTAGCCTGGAAGTCATCATGTAGACCAGGATGGTCTTAAACTCACAGAGATCTGCCCACTTCTGCCTCTCAAGTGCTGGGATTAAAGTTATGCACCACCACACCCAGGCTATTTCTCTTTTGAGATATAACCATTGGTCTGTGAGGCTTCTGACTAGGAGGTCTCTCTAGGTCACTATGGGTCCTAGACAAGTGGCTTTTCCTCTCTTTGGGCTCATTTTCTTCTCTGGGGATTTGGGTGATAATGGTATTATCTTCCCTTAAAGGATTTGCTGGGCTATCCCAGCACATGGAAGAGGTGGGGAAGTCAGAGGGAGATGTACTTACAATTGATGAACCAGACGGATGCCAGGGTGATGGAGAAGAACAGCCCGGGGCTCAAGTCCACCTTCACCAACACTGCTGTCAGGGCAAAGAGCAGTAGTATGGCCAGCAGGCTGCCCAGAATACGCACCGACTCAGGGACACTGCTCAGAAGGAGGCAGAGGACATCAGGGGGCCACCAGGAGCAGGTGGGCACAGGGCAGGGCTGGAGTGATGAGGTGGGAGCCGGGAAGGAGAGGAGCAGGACCACGTGTCCCTGGCCTCTGTGACTGTCACCTCCACAAGGAGGTCGGGGGTCCAAGGGCTGGTTCTCACCACTGATACAGGAAGGAGTTGAGGAGTGTGAAGAGCAGTAGAGGCAGCTGGGACAGCAGTGTCACCCAGTTGTTGAAGTTGAAAGAGTCTGTGGGACTGGTGTGGTTGGTACTCAGGGTCTCGGCGCTGCTGTTGGTCCCTGCCAACCGCCCCTGGAAGTACTGCCACACAGAGAGACAGTGCAGGGTCAGGAAGCACTTTTCCCTCCCCCATCCCCTCCCCACACTTGGCTAGCATCTGTGGGACTGTCTTTGCACTGTTTCCAGCACCTGGCACACAGTTGGCACTAGATGTGTACACACTGGGTTAAATGGCTGACTGCTGTGCCTGAGCCCAGGGCCTTGCCACATCTCTGGGTCCCTCTCCTCTTGAGTGTCCTGGCCCTAGCCTCCATTCCCACCACTGTAACAACCTCAACACTTATTCATTCCATGGGCATTTATTGAACACCTACTGTATGCCAGGCTCCAGCTTAGGTACTAAGCCAGCCCATTCTCTCGGGCATACATAGTCGGGAATACATAGCTTTCTTCTGCTCACGCTGCCCATGGCCTGAAAGGCAGACCTCATGTTTTTGGATTGTTTAGAATATGATCCTAGACTCCCCCCGCCTTTTTTTTTGTCTGTCTTCTGCTCCATTTTGGTAAGCTGCAGACTCCAGATATTTCTCTAAATAGGGTCTTCTTTGTCTCCACTCTGAATTTCCCCCCACCCTTTGCCTGCTCAGTTCCTAATTTACAAATCTCTTCTATGAAGCAGAAGAAATTTCTTCTGAGACCCTTTAGCACTTTGCTTCAGGCTGGAATGGAATGGCACATGGCATGTTACATTATTACTAACTCTGGCTCTATGGCTGTCAAATTCAGTAGCTGATCCATCTTTGGGTATCCAGGGTCCAGCACTGATCCAGGCACCTGGAAAGTTAACCCACTGAATATGTTTGAATAACCCTATCCCAAAGAAAACACAAGCTATACATTTCTGCCTTTCCATAAAAGAATGCATGCTTTGGGCAATAGGGCCTTTCTCTCTTATGGTTCCTCCACATCTGCAGTGCCTGGTATACAGTAGTTGCACATTAAGTATTAGTTGAATGAATGTAATTCATCTCATTGCAAAGAAAGCCAAAGGCTTGGAAAAAAACACTTTTGGAGTGACTGTCCAGAAATAACCACAAAGGGCATAGGATGGTAGCTCCTTTGCTGGTCAGACTCCTTGCATTGATAGCCCTGCCCCTCTGGGATCTGGACATTCCTAAAAGTTTGCCTAGCCAGAGGCGGTTCCCTTTATGAGGCTTGGTGCTTTCGCTGGCAGGCGAGTTGTAGTAGGTGGCCTGGTGAGGAAAGCGGCTCGTGAACCACAGTCCAAGACGACTGGAGGGATGGAGATTTGTGGCCATGCGGTTGCCCATCGGTCGCGGGTCTCACCGGGATAGCGGTAATGAAGAAGTTCCAGGGGAGGAGGGTGCCCAGCCCCAGAATGAAGAAGCTGATCCCGACCAGGTGGTAGCTGTGGGGATCAATCAGAAGGTCACCCCGAGGACGTACGCCTGGGCCGCCCTAGCTGCCCCTCAGTAAAACAGACTACAATCCCCATCACCCTGCCTCAGGCAGCCAAGGGAATCGGCTGATGGGAATTGTAGTCCCGTTGGTCTTTGAGCCCAGGAGCATCCAGACGAACGGAAATTCACAGGTTCGTGGCCACCTGGGCCGCGGTACGCACCACATGGGTTCCCACCTCACCTGTCCCGAGGGGCGTTTCCGCGCGCCATGGTTGCCGCAGTCCTGTTACGCCAGGCCCACTGCAGGGCGGTGCACCTGCGCCTACGCAGTGCTGGGAGGCCGAAGGGACAGCAACGCTGCCCGGTGTCCGGGAATCCCAAGGTCGGAGAGCCGTAGCCAGTGAGAGGGCCCGGGCTGGGTTGCACTGTAGACCACGTTTTTCAGGCTCGGACCTCGGCTCCGCCCCCAGGGCGGTGACAAAAAGCCACTGCACCCCTCCCCCGAACGCCGGCTCGCCAGACTCCGCCCCGCTGGTGGCTTGCCTTGCAGTATTGGGTTCCGGCTTCTAGCTTGCTTGCACGTGTGTAGCGGTGTCTCACCGCCGTCCCTTCCCCTTATACCCTTGTCTTCTCCTTAGGTACGTGTCCGGAATCTCTGGGGACGGGGACAAGACTGCCCTGGAAGGAAGGGGTCTGTTGGTAGTTGGGCACAGCGGAGCTAGCTGGGAAGTTCTTCCTCTTGGCCTGTTCCGAGGTGGAGCCGCGTTTGCACCCTCTAAGGTTTGGAGCCCTCTAAGCTTGTTGTTACCCTGTCAGCAGATTCGGGAGCGAGTGCGAAGGGAGAAGCCGGTGTCATCTATTGTTGCAGAAGGTCCCCGCGCGGTGCTCCGAGGGAATTCCCCCAGGGGTCGAGGAGGTGGCCAGGTACTTTTGCAAACGAAGTTCCCCAACATATGTGGAAGACAGGCCCTCCTGCGGTACCTGGGTCCAAAAAGGAGGGTTGAACAAAAGGCTCCGGAGGTGATGTTTGACTCCTTCCCCTGTAGTCGCCTCCGCCTCCACCACCAGTGCTTAAAAACCTAATTTTCCAGGGACTCCAAACCACATCACGTTAAACGTCATCTCAATAACTTTTAGTTAGAAGGCATCCACCTTCCACTATCACTCCCACTTCGTGAAAACTTTGATAAGGTTGCAAGTTACAGTCTTCTAATTTGTGCATGGGTATGATTTCTCTGGCATGGGGGAGTGAACCTTACTGTTTTCCTAAGTTAAGAGTATATTTATCTGGGCTGGTGAGAGTGTTTACTGCCAAGCCTGATGACCTGAGGTCAAACCCCAGGACCCATATGTTGGAATGACTAAACTGACTCCAGCAAATTGTTTTCTGAACCTCCACATAAGCACGGTGCCACACTTGCTTCCAAATAATAAATATAAATAAGTATGAGTATATGAAAATAAATATAAATATGTAAAGTAATATAAATGTGTGTGTTTTTAAAAATATAGTTATTTTTAGAATGTTTTTCCTATGTGCCAGCCAGACCATGCTACTGCTGTTTCTGTTCTGTTCCCAGAATCTAGCTACCGGGCTTGGTTCATCGAAGATGGTTAATTAGATCATGGTGGACTGCAGATGACTGTGCTGGGAACTGAACTCAGAACCCTGTGCATGTGAGGCTAACACTCTTACCCCTGCTGCATCCGTAGCCCTAGCTGGTGACTTTAGGGAGAAGACAGCATTCAGTTACACTGGAAAAGACAGTCATTCTTTAAACTTTCTTTCCAGTCTTCCAATATGCCAAGAGGGACAGTCTGAGTTCAGTTCTAACAGGTTTTCAAGGCCTCTTCATCCCCTCTGCCTTGGGGCATCTCTTGACATTTTTCCTATACACAAGTTAATCGCTTGCATTTTTTTTCTCATGCTTATTCTAATAATTATTATTGACCTGGTTTCCTACTTGATAGTAATAGGAAAATGAGTCAAAGTGGGACAGGGGTTGGAGATATAGCCCTAGCACTGTCTTGGAGGCAAAAATGGAGGTTGGGGGTCTGGAGAGTAGTGCATTTTGTTTGCTTGGGATGGAAGAGGATGAGGCATTTCAGAGAAAGAACATCCTATAACAGGACTGGGGACAGGAGAGTGCTGGCAACTATGGGAAATACTAATAGATTCCTTTGGCTGGGAGGAGCCAGAGTCTCCCTGGATTTGGATTTTACTTCAGATTCTCAGCTCAATCAGACTTGGAATCTGTAATTAACCAATATTTTGCTTCTGTTCTGTAATGAAATTGTGTAAAAAGACCCAGGCAGGAAGCATTTTGATGGCAGTGATATCCTAAGGGAAGCAAGAAAGGAAAGCACTTAGTAATAAAATAATAAGTATGTGAATAGCTAGTGCTCAGACACATGAAACAGTCACATGCTTAGCCTCTCCTTATAAAACCAGTTATAAACACGCAGCAGAGGTACCAAAAGCTGACTCTTAAAGGCCACTAGTGTGTCTTGAGGATATGCTATTCTGGAATAGTGACCAAGGCTTGGAGAAACTCCAAATGAAACAGTGCAGCTGTCTATCTGCAGACAGTGGCCAAGTTGATGGAAAATGCTGTGTATATTTAAACCTTGCAGATAATACACTGTGTCTGCCTGTCAAGAGGATTTGTAGCCCAGCTTCAGAAAATTATCAGAGTGGTTTTAAAAACTAGTTGGTTTTATTTTTGATACAGTTTTAGATTTATAGAATGCCTGAGCAAACAGGACAGAGTTCTGTGTATTAGCTGCAACTACAACTCACTTTCCCTCATCTGAATCCTGTGTTGCTGTAGCACAACCATGACAGTGAGTGAACCCTATGGCACAGCTCCTTCCCCAGCACCATGTCTGCCTGCACACTGCCATTCTCCCACCGTGATGATAATGGACAAAACCTCTGAACTGTGAGCCAGCCCCAATTAAATGCTTAAGAGTTGCCTTGGCTATGGTGTTTCTTCTCAGCAATGGAGCACTGAGTAAGACAGATCCCCTGGAACTAGAGTTATGAGTGGTTGTAAGTTGTCTAATGTGAATGCTGGGAACTGAACTCTGGTCATTTTCCCAAAAGAAGTTTTTTGTTTGTTTGTTTGTTTGTTTCCTTTCCTATGTCTGTAGGGTTAGAGTGATGGATCAATATGTCAGGAGCCATAATGGGACAAGCTAATAACTAGCAGGTTATAATCCTGAAATGGCCTGCCTTGGATTATTATATAATCTGTGACAGGTACATCCTTATTCAGCAAGGCTGTAAGGGTCTCATTTTTAGGAAAGATTCCTGCTATTAATATGCTTTTCCTATTATTATTAAACAGATATAACAATCACTAAGCAATAGCACTCCCCTTTGGAGCAGATCTCTGTAGACTCACGAAGATGTACTGTCTTGTAGTGATGCTATATAGACAAATAGATGACTTCTTAAGTCTTAATGATGATCCTATAAGTATGAGGCGCGCGTGTAATCGTCTCGCCAGCAAGAACGCACACGCACACACATCTGGATCCTTCCGTAGGAACACGTTTATTCCCAAAAACAAAATAGTGGAAGAAGACGCCCAGGCCCGGGAAAGCACTGCTTATATACCCTTAGAGCGGTGTATTCACCTCTGATTGGCTAGGACAGTCCCTCAGTCGGGGACAGATCCACGAGCGTCGAGTTGATGTTCACCACAGCTGCTCTCAATTTTCTGAGTGTCTCATTGAAGTTTTCTGACCAATTTCCTGTAAGATATTGAAACAATTTTCTGGACAGATTAGTTACATTATGTCTGACTGGTATGGGTTTTGGAAAGGCAGATAATATGGTCCATCGTCGTTCCCCCAATATACTAGGAACCTGTATCCCTTGGATCAGCACAAGGGCTGTCATCAGAGTTTGGAGGGTCTGCTTGGGTGTCACCTTCTAATATCTCGAGTCGTCGCGTCAGCCGCTCTGGTAGCCGAAACAGGTTGTCTTCCTCCTGTGGAAAGATACAAAGCGCTCCCCTGGCTTTTATTAAAATAGAATCTGGACCTTTTCATTGTCCGGTCAAGATGTCCTTTTATTTGACCATCTCTTTTGGCCTGTCAGGCTCTAAAATATTGAGGGTAAAAAGTGTTAAAAGCTGTTCCTCCTTCATCAGTTAATTGTCAAGGGGAATTAGGACTTGTATCTCTCTTGAGAATATCCAACAGAGGTTTACATTCTTCTATGGTAAGCTGAAGATGAGGTTTTAGCCAATTAATATCTGTTAACTTGAGAATCATTAAAAGTAAACTATTTTTTGTATGTACACCTGTAAGCCAGAAGATGGCACTAAATCTCACTATGAATGGTTGTGAGCCACCATGTGGTTGCTGGGAATTGAACTGTAATATTTTTAGTTGTGAGTCTAGCCTTTAACAGCAGAACCATCTCTCTAGCCCCAATTATCCATTCTTATTGGAATTTTCTGTGTCACAATTGAATTCTCAGATATTGAAAAGATATTGCCTTTGAATCTTTTCTGGAGCAACAAGTACTCCAAAATCTTAAAGCTCATTGTACTAGAGCAAAGGCTTGTAGAGAAACTCCTTTAGAGAGATTAGCCAATAAAATATACAGTGAATAATATACACTGAGAGATTCAAACGCTTTAACCTTTTGTATTAAAGCAACAACAAATTTTTTAAGGCCGTTAATCATTCTTTGAGGCAAGCTTTTTTAATGAATGGCTTCATGGGCTCTCAAAAATCACAAGCAATTTCACTTAATGTAAACCTCTCACCTTTACCAGGAGGTAAAGGAACTGGTTAAAACAATCTTCTAAATCTATAATAATTTTATATGCATTTACTTGAATGGCAGCTGGAGTAGGCAAGTCAGGCTGTAGTGTCCCATTAGTTTTATAAGTCTTAAATTTGAACTTTGCTTTTGGTTTGTTTTTTTTGTTTTGTAGACCAGGCTGGCCTCGAACTCAGAAATCTGCCTGCCTCTGCCTCTCAAGTGCTGGGATTAAAGGCATGCGCCACCACTGCCCAGCTCTTAAATCCAAGCTTCTGCTTCATCCACTCTGTATATAGTCTTGATTTAAATGTAAATGTTTTTAATCTTGGCCTATATCTTGAGGCCTGGCCCAAGAATTATCCTTTTTGTACCAAGGACAAGTTTTAGTCAAGTAACCTTGGCCTCAGGATTATCTTTTTTGCATCAAGGACAAGTTTGTCAGGTAACCTTAGTCACCTGACTGTTGTTTAAGCCTCTGTTCTTGGGACAGTCACTTTAAAAACTATCTAAATTTCCACATTTAAAACACCCCCCATCCCTATGGCTCTGTGTAAGCTATGGCCAGACCCTGATTGTATGAGGGTGCAATTTCATAGAAAAGACGAATGTATCTGAGTCTGTCTTTGCTTGTATGGTCTGAGAGCTGTGTAGGCAGTTTAACCTGATTAGCACCACGCTGACCTTCTCTTACAAGCATGTTAAGATCTCAGTCTGCATTGTCTTAATTTAAATGTAAATGTTCTAAATCTCTAGCAGGCCAGCACTGTATCACAACTTGTTTTAAATATTTTTATTTAACTCTACCTGCTGTCCCCCCCTTCTATCACATGGGTGAATCAAAAAATTTTAAACTCAAGATTACAACTGCCAACTGTAGCCAATGGAATATTGGCAGTTTAACTAAATTTTTAAATTTCTTTTGTAACATTAGAGTATAACCATTAATTTTGAGAAGCAAAAGCAAAACCAATTTAAACAATCTATTTTCTCTAAAATCAACACCAAGTAGACTACCCCTATGCTACAAAGTTTTGCTGCCAATTCTTACATATAAATGCATGAAACAGCTTTTACTATCTCATTGAAGAGATATTGTTTTAAAATCTTACTTTTTATACACTTGGTTTCTGAATGACTCTAACCCTGAGTTAGTTTTACACCACTTTTCGTTACCAAAGTTGTAAATTTCTAATCACACCCAATAATTTAAGCCAATAGTCTATAACCAAGACATGTAGAACGTTTTTATACTTTTAAAACCAATCAGAAACAGCAATGAAGTGGCTATATATCTTATTTTTAGATCAAACAAAATTTGTTGCTTTTTCTAGCTGTAATTTTAAGAGAAAAGCACCTTGTCACAGAGATTTTTCTAAGACAAAACAACTCTTAGCTTCTTTATAAAACCCAAAATGCTGCTGATCTCTTTTAAAAGCAGCTTATGCCAACTTCAATTCCTGAAAAGGCTTTTTTAGCTCAGCTCAACTCTTAGCTACAGGTGTAGGGTAGCTGATCAGCTTCTGTTGTGTAAATTAAGACTGTCTTTGAAACAAAGTTAAACTAGCCCAAAGGTTGTATCAAGCAGTTTTAACGATCTTTCCTTTTGAACATGTAACAAACACAGAACATTTAGACAATGAAACAAAAAGCAAACACAAACACGTGGACATTGGCACGCCAAGAACAGACAACAAAGAAGT